TAAAGACACTGATAATGATGATAATAATAATGAAAAAAAATCAATATATAAGATTATAAATATTAAAACTTTACAACTGCAATTAACAAAAGTATGCATATAAATATCAGAATAATAACTACACAAAAATACAGCAGTATATAACGACAAGAAAAAAAAACAAAAAAACAAACATAATAATAACATAAACAAGCAGTACAAACAAGCGCACTTTTCGTCAATTAATCAATTAATCAATTTCTTTTCAAATTTCGCGCCACATGACACCATCTGGCGGCGAAAGGTGACACTGTATCGTTACCAACACAAAGCGTCCGTTATGACACCTTTCCCCCCCTCTCTCCTCCCTTCCCTTCCCTACCCCCCCTTCCCCTCCTTTCTCCCATCCCTTCCCCTCCCTCTCCCCCCTTCCCTTCTCCCTTCTCCCTTCTCCCTTCCCTTCCCTTTACTCCATATCCCCCACTCTCTCTCCTCTTTCCTCTCTCTTCTTCCCCTACATGTCCTTTCCCCTTCCTCTCTTCCCCTCTCATTACCCCTTCCCCCTCCTCCTCCCCCTCCACTCCCCTCCCTTTCCCCCCCTCCCCCCTCCCATCCCCCCCTCCCACCCTCTCCTTTCCTACCCATTCCCCCTATATCCCCTCCCATTTTCCCCTTCCCCTCTCCCTTTCCCCTCTCCCCTCTCCCCTCTCCCCTCTCCCCTCTCCCCTCCCCTCTCCCCTCTCCCTTCATTCGACGCTAATTATAATATTCAAATGTTCTAATCTTTACTCTAATTACAGTCAAGTCTACCGCATAATTTGGATTATTTTCTATCCGTCGTATTTAATAACGGGAGAGAGAGAGAGAGAGAGAGAGAGAGAGAGAGAGAGAGAGAGAGAGAGAGAGAGAGAGAGAGAGAGAGAGAGAGAGAGAGAGAGAGAGAGAGAGAGAGAGAGAGAGAGAGAGAGAGAGAGAGAGAGAGAAACAGAGAGGGAGAGAAAAAGAAAAGTTGAGCAAAGACGAGACAAAAACAAAATAAAACAAAACTAGAAAAGAAAAGACAAGAAAAATCTAACTAAATAAGAGACCAACAAATAAAAAAAAAATAAAAATAAATAAATCTTAAAGAAAAGAAACGCCACTTCCAGATTACTTGAGTCACCCCATCGTCACACCGCGAGTCCTGGTGTCATGACCGTAACAATGTACACAATATATCGATGTCGCAGCCGTTTTCTTGGCGACAAAAAAACAAAACAAAAATAAATACACAGAGACATGCACTTACGAACGAACACTATCCTTATCCCCTAACCCCCCTACCCCCCTTCCGTCCTCCCTACACGATTCTTCACCTCCTGCTCATCTCCCTATACGTACATACATACATATATACATACACACATACATTCACACATAGATCACACTCAAACCCAGAAAGGAAAACTACAAGACATGTATGTTTACGCACTCTCATAGGCGCGCGCACACACACAACACCCCCCCCCCCCCCACACACACACACACACGCACACACACGCACACAATTTCCTTTACCTCACGCCTTCATTCATCCTTGTCTGAGGGTTACCGTTACCGAGTATCGCGTTACCTACAAAGACAAAGGATCAAGGGGGGGGGGGGTAATAGTAGAACAAGGGAGGGGGGAGGGGAGGGGAGGGGGAGGGGAGGGTTGGGAAGGAAAGGGTAAGGGAGGGGGAGGGGAGGGGAGGGGAGGGGAGGGGAAGGGGAGGGAGGGTAGAAGAGGGAAAGGGGAGGGGAGGTTAGGGTAGAAGAGGTACGAGAGGATAGTAGAGAGGAGGGGAGGGGAGGGTGGGATAGGGGAGAGTAGGCAAGGGTAGGTAAGGGTAGTAGAAGGAAGGGGAGGGAAGGGAAGGGGGAAGGGAGAGAAAAGAAGATAAGGGAAGTGAAGAGAAAGGGAAGGGTATGGGAGGGTATGGAATGGAAAGGGAAGGAGAGAGAAGAGAAAGGAAGGGATAGGGTAGGATAGACGAGGGTAACGTAGGGAAGGAGAGGGAAGAAAAGGGAGGGAAGGAGGGAGGAAGGAAGGGAGGGAGAGAGGAAGGGAGGGAGGGAGGGAAGGAGAGAGGGAGAGGGAGGGGGAAAGGGGGGAAGAGGGAGGGAGGGAGAGGGAGGACATGAGGGAGGGAGAAGAAGGGAAGGAAGGGAAGGGAGGAAGAGGGAGGGAGGGAGAAAGGGGGGAGAGGGAGGGAAGGAAGGAGGGAAGGAGAGAGAAGAGAAAGGAAGGGATAGGGTAGAATAGACGAGGGTAACGTAGGGGAGAGGGAAGAAAACAAGAAGGGAGGGAAAGGGAGGGGATAGGAAGGGTAACACAGAATAGGGTAAAGGTAAAGGGAGAGAATAAAGATTGATGGGAGGGATAGAGGTAGGAGGGGGGGGGGTAGTAGGCAGGAGGTTGTGGGGGGGGGGGGGGGGTCAAGAAAAGAGACGGTAACAAATTAATTTCTAAAAATGATTAATGTGGAAGTATTTTTAGATA